CCCCAAAACCCCAAAACCCCAAAACCCCAAAGGGTTTCATAAATAAAATAAAAAAGTTAAATTAATAAAAGTAGAAATAAATATAAAATGATATTAAACCACAGCAACTTAAAATAAAATCAAGGAACTCTAACTGAGTTAGATATTATCAAGGCCATAGTGAAAGAAGTCGTGGAAGGTGGAAGCGATGTACAGTCAAAACGATAGGAAAGTAATATTGAGATTAAGAAACAGATATTCAAAATGTATCTAAAAGTCTGGACAGCTGCAATGAAATACATCAAATCATAATCTGATAAAGGAAGAATTGTTGACTCTAAGATAGTAGGGTAATTCATGAAATAAGAAGGGAGTCTTTTTCTATATATGCCTTCACAAGAATTGCTAGAGAATTGTAAGATCAGATTATCTACTAACTCTGAAAATCAGCCTTAACAATAGATAAGACAGGTAATTCATATTGAACTCTAACTATTATTTATGATTATTCTTAGAATGATTAGAATTAAGTTTCTCTTAACATTCAATCGATTGCAGCTGTTTGTGATTCAAAGTCAGATAATGTCAACACCTTCCTTAATCGCTTCAAAGATTTATTGGTACTTTAAATTAGATACTCATTTAAATATAGTTTGAACTGCTTTAGAAGAGATAATTTGGAAGTAATATAATCCTAAATCTTAGATTCGGTAGCTTGAATTTTTCAAAGAATGGAGAGGCTGAATTTAAGACATATACTTTGGACAATAATCCAAATTATGGTGAAGATAATTAGTCTTAGTACTCTTATAAGTCTAGAGTAACCTAGTCATAAGCTCGTTCATAGCAATAAACTATTGATAATAATCTTAAGAACCTCTAGAGTATGCAATATAACGGAGGAAATGGAGGTTTAACAAATGGATAAGTAATAATGACAGTTATGTAATCACCGAACCCCATGAATTCAAATAAAAAGTAATTCCATCTAATATCTTTACCTAATTATTAGAAGCTAATCATAGAAGACTAGCATAGTAAATTCATATGCGAAAAAGAGAAACGATAGCATGGCAATGAGTAGAAAGGCAAATGATTCATTAATGAGGGATAAATCTCCTAATTAGGGACATAACAACAGTAACAACAATTTTTAATCTCCCGAGTCAAAGAATCACCAGTACTTGCAAGATTTTTTGAATACACAATAAAAATACTTTAAAAGTGAATATGGAAAGACAGAGGGCATAGCAAAAAAGGACAGCAAAGAATGCTTAAGTCAGCACAGTACTTCAGCATCTAAAAAGAATCTGGGTCGTTAAAATAACAACTAAATAATCGAATAGTTATATGTAAGCAGTAGATTAATTAACTAATCAAATTTTAGAATTTAAAAAAGTAAAATCTCGATAAAGACCAAATAAGGGAAAAAGCAAATCATATACATCAGACATAAATTAATCAAATGAGAAATCAAATATATTCTCAAGGAAGAGAGGCACTTCATTCCAACAACAATAAAAGAGTACGAAATGGCAATATTGATCAACTGGCATCAGCTTACTCTGATGGCAACAATATGAAGATTGGGAGCCCTTAGAATAATAGCCAGAATAGAGCTAATTTGTCGGCAATGCTACCTAATCCTAATGACAGATTTGGAGAATATAAGAAACAATCAATTGAAAACAGATTAGGCAGCTCGCAGAATAGCAACCTGAATAGAACATTCTTTGGCTAAAATTATGAATAGTCACCATAGCAATCACAGAACTAGTTTTAAACACAGTCTCAATTCTTTTAGTCATATAAATCATAAGATCCAAAACTAAATCTTTCTCTTGGCTAGTATTCTTAACATTATCCAGCATTCCTAAGATCAAATGGTCCGTTTTAAGTATACAATCATCATAAAGTTAAAGGTGACCAATACTATGATAATAACAAGCGAGCAAAAGAAGAAGCCAAAAAGAGACTTAAAGATTAATTAGAGGGAATAAAGCAGACTAGATAGCAGCAAAAGGAGGTTTTTCACAAGCAGATTGTTGATTAAGAGGAGCATTTTTAGATTCAATAAAATATGAAGAGACTTAATAATGTTGAGAACTTGATGTATATCTAGATGTAAATTGAAAGCCAAAAGAAAAAGAAAGAGTTAGATTAGTATGAGAGAGTCTAAATTTATGCTAAACCTCATTTTGGTCCTGAAGAAACAGAGGACATAATGCTGCATCACTATTCGGCTAAGAAGAACTAGCAAGAGCAGGTGAAGAATAGTTTGCTAGATTAAATCAAGATACAAAAGGAGGTAAAGCATATTGAAAACTAGGAAGAGAAACAGTGTGACCTTAAAAATTTATAATTGACCTAGACAATATAAGTCTAAGAGGAAAGAAGGAAAAGATTGATGGAAGCTGAGAATAAGTAAGTTGATTATTTGTGTTTGATTTATTTAACTATAGGAAAAAATTAAGAAAGGCTTGGATTGATCAGATGAATGTAAAGAAAACTGCAAAGGAATACGACAATATATTTTAGTGATGAAAAAACTGAATGAAAATATCTCAAAAACTTTATTTATTTATCAATATATGATTCAAAATATAACAAATATAAGTGACTCTCGGGGTTTTGGGGTTTTGGGGTTTTCTTTGCAGTTTTCTTT